TGTATCTAGTTATGTCATCAGTAAAAGGGAGGAGGGGACCTAGATGTCAATTTAGATCCTGCTCTTTTCTTGATGAAATAGCCGGACGAAATAGCTCGATGCACGCTTAAATTTATGTCGTCGGTGCAACACGGAAGTAGCTCGTCAGAGCAGCTGACATGAAAAGATTTGTAGAAAAGACAGAGAGAAGCAAGGTTACGTCGGTGAGAAAGCGACTGGAGTCGAGATTAAGATTTAAGAGTGAGGCAGTCAGATACACTTTAAATTCTATTCAAGTAACGCTGTATCGACAAATCAGTTTCAGATTTCACTTATTCCATGTGTGATTCACTAAGTTCACTTAGCGAAAGATTTGAAATTAATGCTCTCCATTCTCGTCCTTGTGAGATAATCCCATCAGTAATATGAAATGATAAAATATCGAGAAATCTCCTTCTCATTTTATTATTTATTTTATTTTATTCATTTATTTTTTGGCATGTTCTCAAAGCCGGTTTGAAATATGACGTGTAAAACCAGGGGACGTATTCGTTGTGGAAAAAATAATTTTTTTTTTTCTCTTTTTAATTTGAGGATACATATTATTCACTTGGATGATCACGTACCGAAGATAGGCAGATGAACAGATAAGTCAAGTAAGTAATAAAATGAAATAATGGAAGTGCCCGCCATCACCCTCTAAATGAGAGGGGACCACTGGGTGCCCTTGGCTATCCAAAGCTGAAGAACATAGTGTCATGAAGTCCTTTCCATCTTAAGCCATCAAAATATTTTCACCCTCCCTTAACATCTGACAATTTAGATATTTTTTAAAGCCTAGCTGTTCTGCACAAAGTTAAATGCGGCGTTTTTTTTTTAAATTGTTAAGACTGTGCAGCACCAATCGTCCAAGAAAGAGAGTACCCACCGATTGGCGCTGAAAATATGGGGTTACATCAGCCACGAAAAATAAGTATATACTCAATTCTCTTATTGCACGGGGAGTACGTTCCGGAGGCTAACGTGCAAAATAAAACCGGGTAAAAAAATACACAATGTACATATGAAAATTAGAGATAGGTTCTATCCAAATATATTTAATAAAAATGTTAGTTTTCATATACAAATAAAAATAATATAAACGGTGTTTCATTAAGACGGATTATATATAAGGGTGTTTCATTAAGACGGATTATATGTAATGGTGTTTCATTAAGACGGATTATATATAAGGGTGTTTCATTAAGAGGGATTATATATAAGGATGTTTCATTAAGACGGATTATATATAAGGGTGTTTCATTAAGACGGATTATATGTAAGGGTGTTTCATTAAGACGGATTATATATAAGGATGTTTCATTAAGACGGATTATATATAAGGGTGTTTCATTAAGACGGATTATATATAAGGCTGTTTCATTAAGAGGGATTATATGTAAGGGTGTTTCATTAAGACGGATTATATGTAAGGATGTTTCATTAAGACGGATTATATATAATGCTGTTTCATTAAGACGGATTATATGTAAGGATGTTTCATTAAGACGGATTATATATAAGGCTGTTTCATTAAGACGGATTATATGTAAGGATGTTTCATTAAGAAGGATTATATGTAAGGATGTTTCAATAAGACGGATCAAAGTCAGTAGTCAATAAATAAGTGTTATTGGTGAAAATTTATTTATTTCTCTATTGGATCATGTTATTTAAATCATGGCAATTATGTGTAAAAATAATATCACTTAAATGTCCGCCAAATCTGAAAGAAAAATAAAAAATCATTAGACACTTAAACTTAATTCACATTTAAAATCGGTCCAAGTTATTGGAACATCCTTTAAAATAAATTTATTTATTTTTTATTTGTACACACACTCACATACACACACACTTATATATATATATATATATATATATATATATATATATATATATATCATAATTATTCAGTCATTCATTGTCACTACTAGACAGTAAATGTGCTCTTTTTCTGTTGTTTTTAAAATGGCGCAAAATCACACTCGGTACTGAAAACATTTAATGTCGATATATCTTCATACGCATCTTGAATTTGCTCGATGCGTATCCAAATGTAAACAAATGACGTCACAGATATATATATATATATATATATATATATATATATAAGGGTGTTTCATTAAGACGGATCAAATTCAGCAGTAATAATCAGTGTTATTGGTGAAAATTTATTTCACCAATAACAAGTTATTCAAACACCCTTTAGAAATAAACTGATTTATTTTATGTATATATATATATATATATATATATATATATATATATATATATATATATATATATATCATAATCGCTCAGTCATTCAGTGTCACCAATAAACAGTAAACGAGCTCTATTTCTGTTGTTTTTAAGTGGCACAAAATCACTCTCGTCACTGGAAATATTTAATGGCGATGTATCTTCATGTGTATGTTGAATAAAATTAACATCTTGTGATTCTTTTGTTTCACTGCTTTCGAATACAATTTCGGTTATCAGACGCCGTGATTTTGTTTTTGTTTGGTTTGATTTGGTTTGTTTTACGGCATATCAACCTCAATGGGTTATTTAGTGCTGACAAAATTTTTATTGCTGGTAATATTTGTTTTTTCAAACATGTATTGCTAGTAATATTTTTCCTTAAAAAATCTATCTCTGATAATATTTTCTTCAAAAAAGTATTGCTGGTAAAAATTTTTTGTCTACAATGTATTGCTGATAATATATTGATGGTAATACTTATTTTCTTTTACAAAGTATTTCTGGTATTAAGACCCATTTTTACACTTTCATAGTGTTTTGACCACAATTTGGGGTTTAACTATTTGCCCATAGTTGGAACCTTAACAGGTGCTACCACCCCGGACCAGGGTGGATCTGGGAACACCAGCGATTAAGAGGTGGTTCCACGCTCCTCAAAACATCTTGATCAGAGATTTTGCTGTTGGACGTAATTTATCGTCTTACCAAGGACGCGGATGTAGTTTATCGTCATACCCAGGACGGGATTTTGTTTTTATTTGTTCTTTATATGATTCTTCATAAGGTGCCATAATCATTTTCAAATTATTTTAGAATTGCACAGGTTTCTAAGTTTATTGGTTATTTGGAGGCCTTCTAGAATTCTACTTTCAGATAGCGCAACCACTTCTTCATCATCACTACTATAAACTAACGTGGAATCATACACATTCTCTGAAACATTATGTATGTACAGTGTATATGTCCCTTCTTCGAAAAGTCGGGGATCACTATCCGAAAATAATAGATTGCATTCTATTTTACTTCGCTAAATTATTACTTAATCACGTTACGTAGAGTTTCGGCATTTTGTAAATTATAATTGATTGATTATTATTTAATCGTTTTATTGCCACTTGCAATAAATTCTGTGGTCACACAAGGACAGATGTTTAAACCGTGTTAAAGTTAAAAAATAGTGCCAAAAAATAATCGGTTCTTTTCTGGACCGTGTTATTTCAAAACCCTGCAAAATGAATACGTGCAAAAAGAGAATTGAGTGTACTCTAATTTTAAAGAATATGTGCAAAAAGAGAAATGAGTGTAACTCTAATTTTAAAGAATACGGGCAAAAAGAGAATTGAGTGTACTCTAATTTTAAAGAATACGGACAAAAAAAGAAATGAGTGTAACTCTAATTTTAAAGAATACGGGCAAAAAGAGAATTGAGTGAACTCTAATTTTAAAGAATACGTACAAAAAGAGAATTGAGTGTAACTCTAATTTTAAAGAATACGGGCAAAAAGAGAATTGAGTGTACTCTAATTTTAAAGAATATGTGTAAAAAGAGAATTGAGTGTAATCTAATTTTAAAGTATACGTGCAAAAATAGAATTGGGTGTACTCTAATTTTAAAGAATATGTGCAAAAAGAGAATTGAGTGAACTCTAATTTTAAAGAATATGTTCAAAAAGAGAATTGAGTGTACTCTAATTTTAAAGAATATGTGCAAAAAGAGAATTGAGTGTACTCTAATTTTAAAGAATATGTGCAAAAAGAGAATTGAGTGTACTCTAATTTTAAAGAATATGTGCAAAAAGAGAATTGAGTGTACTCTAATTTTAAAAAATACGGACAAAAATAGAATTGAGTGTACTCTAATTTTAAAGAATATGTGCAAAAAAGAGAATTGAGTGTAACTCTAATTTTAAAGAATATGTGCAAAAGAGAATTGAGTGTACTCTAATTTTAAAGAATATGTTCAAAAAGAGAATTGAGTGTACTCTAATTTTTAAAGAATAAGTGCAAAAAAATAGAATTGAGTGTACTCTAATTTTAAAGAATATGTGCAAAAAGAGAATTGAGTGTACTCTAATTTTAAAGAATATGTGCAAAAAGTGAATTGAGTGTACTCTAATTTTAAAGAATACGGGCAAAAAGAGAAATGAGTGTAACTCTAATTTTAAAGAATATGTGCAAAAAGAGAATTGAGTGTACTCTAATTTTAAACGACATAATAGAAATGTTTCTTTTTTTTCTTTTTTGTACAACTACATCATAAAAGACTAAACAATATATTACCCATAATCTAAATCTATAAACTTTATTTCACTTCTTTTTTTTTTTACATTATTTACTATTGGACTATTATCCCCTTCTTTATTGTTACTATCGCTGGCTTTCATCAGGTACTTGTCGATTCGTATAAAATCCAGGGAATTTCGAAGTGAAACCTTTATTTAATTTACAGGGATTGATTGTTCTCATTCCACTTTCCATGTCTAAGGGACCTCAGGTCTTCCTCATATTTAATATTGATCATATTAAGAGCTGGGAACTTCGATGTGGTGTAATGGTTAGCAAGCTTGCTTAGATTAATTACAACTGAGTAGTGAGTTCGATCCTCACTGGGTGGCTCATTATTATATTATAAAACCGTGCGAAAAGAATACATACAAAAAGAGAATTCAGTGTATTACGATTTACGCATGTTACCCGACACAATTTCAATTATTTTAAAAAATATTTTTAATCTT